CGACAATTCTCTTTTAGTAGAACAATTTATTTTTTTAACTTTTGCTTCAAAATCTAGGCGGGCAGCTGCCCCCCCCCCGCAAGCTACGGCCCTGTATAATGACTAAAAAATTATTGTCTAGTTATTACTGTACGTTTCGAACGAAGTACGTACGACCGTATGACTCTGAGATACAAAATTAAGCGTAGACATAAATAGAATACCAATATAATATTTATATATCTGTCATAGAAGATACATTAGGAATAGACCATATGGAAGAGGGTGCATCGTTTGGGTCACACCTCCAGGTCTATGATGACGTCACGCAAGCTGGCTACCACTAATACGTGCAATACAAAGGCTATTGCACATCGCATAGCGTAACATTATACACCTAGCATACGCCTATAACATTATAGCCTACCATATATATATTTATATATATTGATTTCTACTAATTTAGCTTCTTGGCATAGTTCTTGTTGTTTTCGTCGATTTTTTTAACAGGAAATTTGACGGACAAAAGTCAACCTTGAAGCGCTTACATGTTAGAGCTAGTAACAAGTTGCTAGACGGGGCTTGGAAACTCGGTGGCACGTGGTAGCTAGCAGTGTATAATATTTTAGAACATTTAAACAGTCAGCATACAGTTATAGTTGTCAGCTTTCAACTGCCCGATAAAATTGCACGTCGTTTATAAACATGCAACACAGAAGTATATTAAAATATTTAGATAGTGTCTTTCTTTGTGTGTGATCACAGAAGTCATGGCGTGCACGCGTGTCATTACAATTAACATAGCTGTAGCTGTTCGCATATCTGCTTGTCTATTCCCTACCTATCTCTTTGACTGCCTGCCTACCTATCTGCTTGCCTACGCACACGTAAAACATCGCACACGCCGACAACGACACATCTCCGGCTTCATTAGCCCCCCTCTCCCTCTCGCCCGACGAAAAAAAACCCGACGCGTCACGACACCGCCCCTACCACCCACCCGACTCATCACCATAGAAGAACGGCACTCTAAAGAAAGCGCCGCGATATATAGACGGGCACGCACGTCGCCACGCGCCGTCACCGCGAGGGATTCCGCGGCTAAACGTCGACCATATAAGGCAGCGGGGGGCGGCGTCGCAGACGCAGTATGATTCTCAGCTCGGTGCCGAAGCAACACTCGTTCCTACGGTAGCGGCTGCGAAGCGCGTGCCCCGATATCCTCTGCCTCCGCATCCGTTCCATCCATCACTCACCGCCGCGAGGACTTCACTACATAGCGACTCGGCCGCAGCAGCAGTAGCAGCAGCAGCAGCAGCAGCAGGAGGAGGAGGAGGAGAAGAATCAAGGTAGGTGAAGCGAGAGTGTACACACAGCCGTACGTATAGTTGACTAACAATTAACAACGAGACTAACAATATATACAAGTAATAAAGAAAAAGTACAGATTTAAAAGTTTTTACGCGTGCTCTTGCACAAAGATGGCGGTTGATGCTTGTTGAGTCGTAGATATGACGAACACTGGGCGATACGGCCCGTATAGCATAGCATGGCATAGCATAGCATATTATAGCATAGAATAGCATGGCACAGTGCAGTATCGCACCGGACGTTTCTCACACAGAACGAAGATACCATATAACGTTCAAACAGTCACTACTTTGAATAGTTGTGTTTGATTTGGGCTAGGGTTAGGTTTGGGGTAGAGTTAGGGTTAGTGTTGGGTGTGACGTTGTGGTTGGAATTATGGTTGCGGTTAGGGTTGGCGTTTGGGTGTGGATTGGGGTTGGCATTTGGGTTGTGGTTGCGGTTTGGATTTGGTCTTGGATTGGGGTTAGGCTTGGAGTTTGGGTTGGGTTTGTGGTTGGATTAATGTTAGGGTTAGGTTATATAGTTAGAATTAGATGAGGGCTCGTTAATGAATAATAATCACGAGCCATTCATTATTCAGAGTAGCTCGTGTGTCGAACATTACACGTTACGCAACTTCAGTGCAAGTTCAGTTTCAACTCCCAGCCGTTGCGCAATAGTTTTCAGCGACCGCATTGCTAACACGGCTGTAGCTTCGCTGGCTGAACGATCGCACGAACTTCATCTATGCAAAAAACTGCTCATCCAAAGTGTGACATCATCCGGCAATCGCGCCAGATAACCTTCACTCAAGCGGAAAGAATCGGCTGTATGGAAAGCCACCGCTATTACCGCTAAAGCTTGGATTTGCTTGAGTTATTGGCACGATGCTTGCGATGCGTGTCAGGCAGGAATAACGCATGTATGCTCGACACTTGCGCCTGCACAAGCCGCGGCGCTGGTTTTTTGTAGCACGGATGTTTATCGTTTAGTCATCACTAGCGAAATGTCGATTTTTTTTGTAGTTATTAGGAGATTTGCATGCAATATACCGGCGCGCCTGGGCGCAGCCCCTGTGCCTTGTAGGAGACATGTCACACGCTTACTATTAATTCTTGTTCTCTTATATTCATTTGTAAATCTATAATTAATTACACACACGCACGCACGCACACACACACACACACACACACACACACACACACACACACACACACACACACACTCCTCTCGGGGGTCTGGTGTCACGACACAGCACGCACAGCAGTCACACACGGTCACCACACCATCAGCACATCCATACAGCCCTGATTCACACACACGACTCGCGCGCGCGCCGCGCGCCCATATATATATTTATATATATTGATTCTATCTAATTTAGCTTCTTGCATAGTTCTTTGTTTGTTTTTCGTCGATTTTTTTAACGAGGAAATTTTGACGGACGAAAAGTCAACCTTTGAAGCGCTTACATGTTAGAGCTAGTAAAAGTTTGGCTAGAGCGTGGGCTTGGAAGCTCTGGTGGCACGTGTAGCTAGGCTAGTGTATAATATTTTAGACATTTAACAGTCGCATACAGGATATGTTGTTTAGCTTCAACTGCCCGATAAACATTCGCACGTTCGTTTATCAACATGCAACAGCATGAAGTATATATAAATATTTAGATAGTGTCTTTCTTTGTGTGTGATCACATGTAAGTCGATGGCCGTGCATCGCGTGTGCATTACAATTAACAGTAGCTGATAAGGCGTGTTCGCGCATACTGCTTGTCTTATTCCTACCTATCGTCTTTGACTTGCCTGCCTACCTATCTGCTTGCCTATCTGCTCACCCATCTGCTTGCCTGCTTACTTACCCATCTGTTTGACTATCTGCCCACCTATCTGCTTGCCTGCCTGCCCACCCATCTGCTTGCCTACCTGTCCACCTAAATGCTTGCCTGCCTGCCCACCCATCTGCTTGCCTGCTTGCTTACTCATTTGTTTGACTATCTGCCCACATATCTGCTTGCCTGCCTGTCCATCCATCTGCTTGTATACTTGCCCACCTATCTGCTTGCCGCTTCCCTACCTATCTCTTTGACTGACTGCCTACCTGTCTGCTTGCCTGCCTGCAAACCCATTTGCTTGCCACCCATCTGCTTGCCTGCCTGCTATCTATCTGCTTGTTGTCTAGATAAACACCTATCTGTTTACCTGTCTACTCGCCTATCTGTTTGTCACCCACCTATCTGTTTGCATGTTCGCCTATCTGCGTATATAGTATATACTCGCCTATTTCCCCGCACCTATCTGTTTGTAAACTCGCCTATGCTTGCCTGTCGTACCGCCTATCTGCTTGCCTGGCTGCTTACCTATCTGCTAGATGTCTGTCTGTCTGTGTGTCAATCGGTCTATCAAGATGTCTCTGTCTGTCTGTCAATCCGTCTATCTAGATGTCTGTGCTGCTGGTCAATCGGCGTTCATATCGTAGACTGTTCTGTCTGGCTGTCAATCCGTCTATCTATATGTCTGTCTGTCTGTCAATCCGTCTATCTAAATGTCTGTCTGTCTGTCAATCCGTCTATCTAGATGTCTGTCTGTCTGTCTGTCTGTCAATCGGTCTATCTAAATGTCTGTCTGTCATTCGGTCTATCTGATGAGGTCGTCTTGTCTGTCTGGCCATCGTCTTATCTAAATGTCTGTCTGGCTGTCAATCCGTCTATCTAGATGTCTGTCTGTCTGCCTGTCAATCCGTTTATCTAGATGTGTCTGTCTCTGTCTGTCTGTCAATGTCCGCTCATCTAGATGTCTGTCTGTCTGTCTGTCTGTCAATCGGTCTATCTAAATGTCTGTCTGTCATTCGGTCTATCTATATGTCTGTCTGTCTGCCAATCGGTCTATCTAAATGTCTGTCTGGCTGTCAATCCGTCTATCTAGATGTCTGTCTGTCTGCCTGTCAATCCGTCTATCTAGATGTATGTCTGTGCATCTGCCACACGCGCGATTGAATAGCTGATTAAAGAACGACACGAGACTGTTTAATAAAGCCGCTAAGTAGCTAATAAGCCGCTAATAAGCCGCGAAAGTCGCGTGCAATCTAATAGCGTACACGTGCGCGCACGCGCTACGACACGACGCCTCGCACGCCCGCCGACAGTGCTATAGCATTCAACGCTGATGTGTCTAACATGTGCGGCGTGCGTGTGGCGCGCGGGGGGGGGGGGGGGGTACCTGCTGCCCCAGCCGCCGCCCTGCCACGCGTACACGCGCCCACACCGCGCTCACGTACACCGCTGGCACGTATGCTGCTGCTGCTCGGGATGGTCTTCGCAGATGCTACAATTGCCAGCGGGCCGTGCGCCCGACCGCCTACTGCACCGTGCCGGCGACATGCGGGGATGTAATGGTGGATGAAGGAGGAAGTAGGAAGAGGATTGAGGCAGGAGGAGTAGGAGGGGAGGAAGGAGGGGAGGAGGAGGAGGAGGAGGAAGAGCAGAGGAGGAGGAGGAGAAGGAGTTAGGAGGGGGAGAGGAGGTAAGGAGAGGCAGGAGAGGCAGGAAGGAGGAGGAGGAGGAGGAGGAGAAGGAGGATGGAGGAGGAGAGA